CCCAGGATGTGGGCCAGTTCAGAGAGGCGCATGTCCTCCCCTCCAACAATGGGCCTCTCTATGGGCCGGTGACCTTGTGACACTGCTTTCTCACGCTGGTCCCATGGCTTGGATAGTCCAGATGGTTCTGACTGCAATGTGACTCGGTGTGTTCCACTGTGAAGAGGGGTGGATACTTCCTCCTCAGTGCACAGCAGACGGGGAGTGAGTACATTATTTAAGGAAGCACTCGGAGTACATTATTTCTGGAGCACTCGGAGGAGCCAGCCTCTGGGCCAGCACCGACTGACTGTTAACTCAGCACTCTTGCTCCAATAAATACGACAAACCCAAACCCAAACCCGCTGCTGTCAACCCAACCCTGGCTCACGGCAGCCTGGTAGGACAGAGCAGAAATGCTGCATACGGATTTGGAAACTGTAACTCCTCCGGGGAGCAGACAGCCGCAGCCTTCTCCCTCGGAGCAGCTGGTGGGTTTGAATCACTGACCTTGTGGCTAGCAGTCCAACGTTTACCTGACAAAGCCTCCAGGGCTCTTGTGATACTGTTTACCGTGACCAGCAAACACCCAGACCCCCCCCAAAGAACACGAACTCACTGCCACCTAGTCCATTCCAAACGATGATCATTACACAAGTTGACATCATTTCACGCCACCTCGAAGGGATGGCGGGGTGGCAGGGTGGAGGCTAGCCTGTCAATCAGCCCGATGGTGCCTCCTTGTGGGCGTGGCCTTTTCAAAGGAGGGTCCCGGGAACCCCCCCACCCCTTTCTTTCTGCCTTCACCTTCCTGCTGCCGAGACACTTGGGGAGCTGCCAGAGCCACCGCCATTGGATCCACAGGGTTTTGCACCCACCGGCTAGTGACGTCCCGGCATTCTGCGTCATAGCATGTGGCTGTGTGAGTCTGAAGGACCTCCGGTATATTAACTGAACCACGGAAGTGAGTTGGTCTGAGCTCTCTGTACTGCGGTGTGGACTAAGGTCCTGGTTTTGCTTCTCTAGAGAACCCTGCCTAATAGAACCCCACAAGACAGAGGGGAACAGCCCCTCGTGGGCTCCTGAGACTGAAAATCTTTGCGTGAGTAGAAAGTCTTATCTTTCTCCTGAAGAGCGGCTGGCGGTTTCAAACCGCGGACCTTGTAGTTAGCAGCCAACGGGTCACTGCTGTGCCACCAAGCAGAATGATAATAGCTATAACCACCAACACAGCGATGACAGCGCTGCCCGGCAGGTGTTGGGGGGACCACACCCCTCCCTGTGAACGACTTCCCTTGTGCTTTGTTCAGGGGAGTCTCACCTCTTGCTGACAGGACGGGGATCAGGAAGGAGACCATGAGACTTCCTGCCATCTCTGGAAAACTTCCAGGTATCAGGGGCAGGCAGGAGGCACCAGTCTCCCTCCCCCCTCTGCCCTTCCTCAAGCCAACACAAGCCGCCTGCGCACCTGGCCTTGCTATTCCCAGCACGTCTGTGGGGGGGAGGGGGGGGCTTCTGGTGAGCGCACTGAAGCTGCCAGCCTGGCTCCTGCCCAATCTGGTCTGAAGCTCCAACTGCTCCTGGGGACGCTGGATGCCAGCAGCTCTCCTGCTGCCCACCTGCCAGGGCCAGTCTCCCCCTGGCATGCCGATGAGACCCCAGCCCAGAGGGGCCTGGGGTTGCACTCCCTCCATTCCGACTGTGGTGCCCCCACCTACCTCACGCCTCTGGTCTTGGCCGGCCAACGACGCAGACAGGGTGAGGGCCCTGAGCCACGAGGGAGGGATCAAGAAGTGGATTTTACTAGGCTTTTTACAAGGAAAAATGGGCCAGAAGCAGCCAGGTAGCTCACAGAGCCCCCTACCTGGAGAGAAGGGGTGTCCAGAGATCAGCGCTGGCAGCCAAGTTGGCCTATGGAGCAGAACGTGGCTCTGAGACGCCGATCGGCCCAGGCGCGTTCTCTGGTCAGGGGACTGAGCAGTGCTGTGTCCTACCTGAAGCCACTGGTAGGGGCTGGAGTGTGTGATGTCCTTCAACTTGTCCTATACCCCTCGGCCTGATGCTGGTTGCTTATGAGTCCCCCCCCCTCTGCAGTGTGTTCAGGAGAACCGTGTGTTTTTCCTGGCTGTGACGGTTTCAAAGTGTAAGCTATCACCGGACACGCCTCTCCAAACCAGACTCGCCGCCGGGCGCACAGCAACCCCTGTGGGTCTCAGAGACGGTCACTGTAGACAGAAGTAGAAAGCCCGCTGTCTTCCTGGGGAGCTGCTGGTGGTCCCAGCTTTCCATTCAACTTGTACCGCTCTAGACAAATGGCAGGACCACGTGCCGCTCTCCCCTGTGCTGTTCGCGGCTGCCTGCTGGGCTGAGGGTGGTCAGAGGCAGACTGGGAAGTTCGGGCCTCACAAGACAGGCAGGGGCCTGCCCCGCCCTAGAACTGCTCTCCACTCCCCGATGCCCCTGTCTCACAAGTGTCCCCTTGGCTGGACACTCAACCAAGGCCTATATCTGACTGATCATACTGACTCGGGTCCAACCTCTGCTCTCTCTCACAGTTTAGAATCCCCTTCCTTACAAAGAAACCCCAAATGCAATTAATCCCAAGATCTCAGAAACTACAACTTTAAAAAGGTAGCAACGTAAAAGTTGGTTTTCACACATGAACATATGCTCCCATCAGTGGAGGGTGTGCTCGGCCTGTCTCTTGGCCCCCATTCTCGGGCAGGGTAGGGTCTTGGTGCCAAGGCCAGGCCGGGCCAGAATGAGCACGTGTTGTGGGCACTCACACTGGCTGGGCCCCTGGTCAAGAAAACAGCCCAGGACCCTTCAAAGGGCTCCTTTTGTGTTATATATTCAACTCACACCTCCAGAGAGGGCAGGGGTTCTTACAGGTGGTAGACGCCCACAGGCTGAGCGCAGCCTAAGTTTGGCTCAGGACAGGTGTCTCGCCAGAGCAGGGGAAGTGCCGGCTGGTAGGAATGCTAATTGCTAATTGGTCATGAATATGGATGGGGCTAGGATTACCTCCACACAGAGGAGGTGCTCAATAGATAGTGGGGTTTTTACAACATTATCGGGATTTACAAATGCATGAACAAGTTACTCAGTAGGGTTTTTATGCTCGGGAGAATTAATTTCAGGTGGCTTTAGTGCAAAATTGGCATTCATTCCAGGCCTTGTGTAGGAAAATACACATATTTACATTGGGGGTGTGTGTAGAGTCGTGAGCAAGCCCAGACATAGAGGCCATGCAGGCAGCCCCCGCTCGTCCCCACCTCCACAGCCCATCTGCTTTTGGTAACTCTGAGGGTGGGGCCGGGCTTGTCGAGTATGAGCCAGGTGGCTGGGAGGCAGGGCCTGCTCGCCTGCCTAGGGTTTCTGGAAGAGGGCTGCTGTGAGCTGGCATTAGCCTGGCTGGACATGCCCTCCCGGTCACCTGGGAAGGATGTATCCATCTGACAGATAAGAACAGTGGTGAGGGAGGGACGATGGTTCTGGCAAGGGTTTCATGATGACGAGGACAAGGCAGCCTTTGTCTCGGGGGCAGGCCTGCACCCTGCGCTGCTCCCTGCGCGCCAGCCAAGTGTCCTGGGTGGGGATGGGCCAGGTGTCCTCTGCACTCCACTTCCAGTACCCGCTGCCCCCAGAGCTGGGGAGGGGCTGCTTCTGGATAGGATATGTGCTCAGTCTGCTGGTCAAGGACAGTGATTCAGCCTTAGATACCAGCACACAAATGGGCAGTTCCTGAAGAGCCAAATGCTGCGGGAGAGAGCTTCAAAGGAACCAGGGTGGGGGTGGGGGTCCCCCATCCCATGAGGAGCCTTCGGACTCGGCATCTGGGGCAACAAACCAGGACCCAAGAATTTGAACTTCCGGTGCTATGATAGGTATCAGAGACCCCCTAAGTATCAGAGACCCCCTCCCCGAGACACACACATGCTGAGAGTCTTCCTGGGGCCTGAAGACCACTTAGGGACTGCACCCCCACAACTTGACTCAGGAGTGAAATGTCAGCGGCCACGTTCGCTCTATCAGAGGCTTTTACAAAACACTTTGAGAGGATACAGTTGACAGGAGGGGGGGAAGACCCTCTGTGTAGGACAGGGCAGCCACTGTGGGCAACAAGTCAGGCGGGCAGGCTGGGCGGCACCACGCTCTTGAAGGCCAGGCTCCAAGATGCTCTGAGCCAATATGGCGGCTGAGCGTGCTCCCTGAGTTGGGTTTGTCTTGTCTTTGTTACTGTGCTCCGGCCCGGTTGATGCAGCTCCTGGCGGCCCATGTACCATGGGTGGCGACTCCCTGGCTGTTCAGAAGTAGATTTCTAGGCGTATCCTTTTTGGGTGTCAGTCTGTGTGCTTGGTGGAACCCTGGTCAGAGTCCCAGCATGCACAACTCCCCACTGGCCCTGGGCAGTGGCCACTGTGAGGAGCTCTGGCTGGGGAGCCACAGGGGGCCCGTGGGGCACAAGAATTCTACTGCAGGGTTGCACCATTTTAGGCAAGTCTCTTGGGGGGTAATCGCCTAATTACTAGTATGTTGTGAGGACAAGCCATGTAATTAAGCAATATGCGGGCCAGCGTGGGGTCTGAGCCAAAGCAGAACAGTCCACCACCCAGAGACCGGCAGACTCCTTGGCTGCAATTGTGGGAACAGCACGTGGCTGCACACGGGGAAACGAGGGTGCCCAGGGGCACCTGGGCTCTGTGGTGGGCTGTTTGATACCA